CCTTTCCCATTCAGATACTTCTTGAGGTGTTACAGCTAATGTTGGAGGGGCTTGCAGGCTTGGCTTCATTTATAAACACAATCCTCCCTCTGGAGTGCTGTTGCCTTTTTTTCTAGGATTGGGAAACTAATTTTAATCTATGTTCAAACTAGCAGTAAATTCACAATTTAGAACTGATCTTTACCATTTGAAGGTTTGGGATCAGTGGCCAGCTAGAGAACTTCCCTGAACACAGCCACCTCTGAGCTAAGAGATCACATAGCTCTGACCACAATCTTTCCCATCTTTTTTCTTCTGTCCTACCCTTTCTCTGCACAGGATTGAGAAAAAAAATATTCTCCAGGTACAAGAATAAAGTAACATCATCCAAACCTACATGGATACCAGAAAAAAAAAAGCCTCCAGCATTATTTCACACAAAGGGGAAAAAAACCAGTAAAGTATGTGGTAAAAATCCAGATTTTGCAGAAGTCAACACATGTCTTTATGACCTGAAAAACAACTTTCTCTCCCTGCTTGCCTCCCTGTAGACCCTGTCTGCATGTTCAAAGTAGCAGGTTACGATTTGCTTTGATTTTGCTTGCTTATCATCATGCAGCTCTGGTTTTACAGCTATAAAATCTTCACTGAATTATAGCTTTAGGGGTATTGACAAGATGTGCTTCAGTTCTGAGACAGAACTTGGAGAGGGGACTGCAGATACAGGAAACCTCCCCTTGGTAATAGAAACAGCCTCTGTCCAGTGTGCTCAATCTTCCTTTGCTGTACTTAATGGCCTGAGCAGAGTAACATTTGTTGCTTCGTCTCCTAATGTACTAGCTGGCATCTTTCCTCTGGTAAGCCATAGCAAAAGAGGAAACAACCCCACCCCCAAAGCCTTTGTAAAATAAAAAAGCCCCTGTATGTTGTTGGGACCTCCAGCTTCCCTTCTGCCCCCTTCAGCTCAACCAGCAGTTAAGCTGGTATCAAATGATTCTACAGTAGTTTCAATAAATAGATTTGATGCTTCAATTTCAGCTAATATTTCAATTTCTCACACTATTATTTTTCCTGGATGGGTAAAAACCACTTGGATTAATTATCTAGCCATTAAGGGTTTTTGCCTAGTTTTTATTTGCCCTGCCCTTTTTTTTTTTTTTTTTCTTCCCCAACTGTTCACGGTCTCTTCCCTTCTTCTAACACAGTCTTCCTGAAATAGAAACAAACCCAGCATCAGTCAATTAGAGAGGAGCTACGAACTGTATCCTTAACAGAAGTTCTAACCTGGGTAAGTTTGCCCAGCCATGCCTGGCACGTTCATGTTACGGGTTCTGTCCGCACTGAAGTCAGCAAAGCCATCAGCCTGTCATTACAAGCACACTGAGGTCCTTACTGACCAATCCAATTTTAAAAAATATTTAATGTTCCTTCTTTAGCAGCCTTATTTTACTACCCAGGAAGAGTCACTCCATGCTTGGTGCACACACAAGGTATGCAACTCTAAACCTTTCATATTTCTAAGGCTTGCATATTTTGTCTGTTTACTCACAAGATTTTTCTGTTAATGTTATCCAAATCAACTAATCATCCTAGTTTCCTACATGAAATATATGTCAAAAGCAGAATTAAAATGACAGGGAGGAGATAAAGACAAATTAAATTTATATGGCAAGGGCTTTCTCCTACAGAATCTGATCCAAGGTCAGAATCTCAAGGGCTCCAGTGGTGAACGTCCTTTCACACTGTCCCAGCAGATGGGGTTTTGCCCTTCAGCAAGCACATGTCAAAGCTCTACCTCAATCACCAGAGTGTTGTGGGAAAACCCTGCTAACAGCTGAGCTCTGGAGCCAAGACCTGTGTCTGTCAGCACCGGGGGTTACTCATACAGTGCTGCTGCATGCCTCACTGACCACAGTTACACTCACAACAAGATGCTTGTCATCATTTATACCTTAGGCCTCTTGGTATCTTTTTACTCAGTCACTGTGCTTTTTGCAGAGGCTGTGGGACAAGCTGTGAACAAGAACAGGCAGGAGGGCAAGACACCACTTTCACACACAAGAGAAGATTTGCACACGTAGCTACCCCCTGCTCCATGTAAACAGAGCTATATCTGCACTGCCCTAAAACCTTTACTATGAAGGGGGAACTTCAGCTTTGTGCTTCTTTTAGAACACAGGCTACAGGCTATGATCTGACCTGTGACATCATGATAATTGAGTTCACTCACACTGCAGAGGTATTAGCCCATCATGAGAACCGGTCCAAACTACATAATTTCAAAGCCAGCCAGATGAGTTTGCAGTTGCTCCTGTGGTATGCCAGAGGTACCAGCATCTCAAATGCAGTATTTGAATACAAGATCATCTCACCTATTATGCAAACGTTGGATAACATTCAAGCTATTGAATAGTAACAGCAACTTGTTCTCATAGGTCCTCGTACAGGAGCTTCTGAATTACTCACTGTCATCCAGAAAGTGATAAAACTACATTTATGAGTAATACATAAAATTCAAACGAGACCTTTATTTACATTAGGTTTTCAAGCGCTGGGTGTTGCAACATACATAACAAAATTTCATACTACATTTTTTATAGGAAATCAGGTTGAAAAGCTGATCTACAGAATCAATCTGTCAAAACTGGCTAAGCAGAAAATATGTCAGCTCAGTTTTAGAGTACTCTGTCAATTTTACACCGTCTGCTGTCCTTCAGAGTATTTTTGATGTCATGGTTATAAAACAGAGCACTCATGCAGGTTAATTTACAGTGAACTCTCCTAGTAAATTTTACATTCTTCTTCAGAAGAGCGGGTCAATACTCTCCACATTGTCTCACAAAGCAATTATGGATCCAAATAGGGAGAAAACTAGATCCCATCAGGAGATTTTTAACAGAAAGAAAACTGGATTTAGGAAGACAATGAGTCAGAACTTTAATTCCATGACAAACTGAATTATCATCTCTCATTCGGTAGAAAACAAGTTGTACTGTAAAGATTAATCAAGTCCTTTTATTCCATATTAACATTATGCAGCAACCAATATGAGTGTCTAGGTAAACAGGAACTTCAAGAAATGTTTTGCTGTGAAGTTGACTTCAGTAATGCACGCAAATTATAAAGTCATCAACTCTGCTCACTGCCAGAAACTAAAAAATGGCTTCAGGAGCAAATAACACTGATTCATACTGTGCTCAAGCACTAGTCAATGAAATCTATTAAACTACACATGGGTGGAAAAAGAAAATCGAAGCAGCTTTGTTATCTTACTTGTGACACCTTATTTAAATCTCAGGCATTACCTCTTTATATCAGCATAAATATGTAGCCTTCTACACCTTTTATGATGTGGTTACAGACACAACAATGTTATAGTAGAAAGCAAGAGCTAGTTCAAGGAATTTCAGACTTTGAAATCAGCAAGATACAAAGCTAAAATTCATATGTTCCTTTTCAAGTTATGAATACTTTCACTAAAACATAAATATTTTAACATATATTAATTTTTTCTGACATTCAAAATTGTAAAGTCAATATGGCAGAATTATTGTTAAAAGCACATATTTACAAATATTCTTTTTTCCATACATAAAGTATTTGGCATAATTATAACAATCTTACTGCGTACACAACTGTTTGCTTCTTTTTTTTTCACATAATGGTACAATCCTTATTAAAATTTACCAATTATGTACAAAAATACTTGAACATTTATTATAGAAAACCTCTATAACTACCCTCAACAGCTTGTAACTGCTGAAGGTTTAATTGAGAGAATATAAAAAGTGGTCACTTTCTTCCAGTTAAACTAGCAACAAATCAAACACAGCTAAAATCAACATGAGCTTCCCAGCAAAAGAGGGAGAATATTTTTAACAGCATGATTTAAAATGCAGTTCACACATCTGTTCCCAAGCACATGTTAAACAGTCAGTAAAAGAAAGAGGATAGAAAAAATACATACAGAAGGTGCTTCCCCCCCCTCCACATTCCTACGGCTTGGCATTAGCTTTCCAGAGCTCTTCAGATGCCAGTCACTGAAATACAAACACCATTCTCCTACAATAAAGATGATGGTGATGAACTCAAGCTAAAAAGCAAATCCAAAACCTGACTCCACTGGTATGTACACATCCAAAGAGCTGTTCGGAATTTTTGCTACATTTTTACAGGATTATTAATGACCTTTGCAATTAGCTTTTGAAATTCATTGATTGATATCCAGTAATCTGTATTTTTAAAAATTTGTTCATTTAGCGTATTGCCTTGGTACTAGTCAGTACGGGTTCTTGTACACATGTTAAGTGAACAATTCATTTCACACACAGACTGTGTTTTAGGGTAGGGTGAACTTTCAAAAACAGCAGAGAACCCCCACTAGCAAACTGCTAGCTTTTTTAGAAAACAAAACAAAAAAAAAAACAACAACAAAACATTAACTGGAAGAATAAGTGTAAATTGCACCTTCAAATGAAAAGGATGTGTCAGGTACAGAAATACACTAATGGCACAAAACCTTATCAAGATTCACCAGAAGAGTGCTGTACGCTGAATGAAATGCAGGTGTTTTTTCCATCTTTAACATAAACCAAGTGTGTGTTTCAAAAATTCCAAACCACATTCTTACAACAGTTCTCTGCAGTATAACTTGCATTATATCTTTGTTTTTCCACAGACGTTTGAAATGACCAACCTGTTAATCAGATAAGAGAAACAACTTTCACCCTACTTGCAGAAACATCCTAGTCTACAGACTACTTTGTTAGGAAGCGTGCATTTATCTCTATTAGTAAAGATCCAGTCAGTATATTCTGTATTTTGTAAGAAGAATTCGGCTAACTCAGACGAGAGGTGTAGGGTTTTAGATTTAGTTTTTTAAATAAAAGTAAAGTACAAATAAAATCATTTATCAGTATTCACCACAATGAAATAAAAAAACAAATCCTCTCATTCATGCTTCCTATAATACTGGCAACCTAAATTAGTAATTTCATTTCAAATGTGCAACATAATTTTAATAAGCATTTCAAAGTAACTCAAAAGAAAAGGTGGGTGAAATATTAAAGTGCCTAACTAAACGTGTTTTACCATTTTTAGAAAATATTATTCTTTAACGGTAAAGAATTGGTTGCAATTAAATACAAAAGTGGCTTCTCATAGCTGAGAGACTTTGCGGGGCAGAGGCCTGGGCCGGGGAACCTGCTCAGTCCTCCTGCTGCTGTTTTCCAGGTTGTTTGGCCGCACCAGCTGTGGCTTGGGCGGCAGCGCTGGTGGGTCCGTGGCGGGCGGGATGGAGAGGCTGTGAGGTAGAGGAACGGGGCGTTTCAAAGTCCGCTCATACACGCTGTAAGGCGGCGGGGTTTTACTTTCTTTTCTCACAGGCTCCTCCGAAACGCTGTAGCTGGGGACAGTCACTGTTGGTTCGTTGCCTTGGCTTTCAAAGCCCGACGTCTCTGATGTGCTACATCGGCTGAGTGAAGAGATGCCGCTGCTGTAACTCCCCGAGAGCACCGGGGAGTTGGATATGAGCCCCGAGGAATGATACTCCACTGGAGATGGTGTGAATGATTGCACAGACCCCTGCTCGAAAGAAAGGGCAGAAGAATAATTTACCTGGAGTAAATGAGGGAGAGCGTTTCTGTGCTCAGACTGAAAACACACAGAGATACAGTGCACAGATTCTAAGGCTTGATAAACTTAAACAGTTGTATCCCTGTTTAATCCAGTAAGAAACCAATAAAAAGCTCATTTCAAGAGTGCCTAGGTAGACCATGAACACTCCTCATGCCAGTAATTCATGTAAGTGGAAGCAAACTGTATTTAAATGTTATCTTACTATCATAACACCCTGGAAAAATCTGGAAGCCCTTAACAGGAGCCCTCAGTTTTCCCAGCTGTAGGTTAAAGGCAGAGCCATGCCGCGCGCGTACCTGGGGGTGTCCTGCCCCCTAACGCCACAGCGCGGGACCTGCATCCCCATCACTGCAGCTCCTTCAGTCTCTCCTGTTCCAAATCCGCTTTCCAAGGCTTTTCCTCACAGTTTTAGTGCACCATCATGCCATGCAAAGTGCATTTACATCGTGGCATCATTTCCAAGTGTGTCATAATACCAACATGGGAGGTGAAGTGCAGAGCAGATGCCAAGCTAACAGTTGCTGCTGGGCACCAGTCCCTTTGGCCCGCAGCGCGTTTTGCTGTTCAGGGGCAGCAGCGGGAAGGCAGGAGGAGAGGCATTGCTGCTGCTGCAGACGGCATTTTGAACCGCAGTTGCTCCACCCTTCCTCTCCCCCATCTCCCAGGCATTCCTTGGACACACTGGCACACAGAACACCACTGCAGGCCCCAGGGACAAGGGTCCAACGGAGGGCGAAGGTTGCAAATGGCTGCACCAGCAGCCTCACAGGTCTGTGTGGGAAGGTGAGGGACGGGGAGCTGAGGGCCCAAGCGGCAACAACAGTGCTGACAAAGAATAGAAGGCAGGGACAGTAAAGCCCTACCTAAAAAGCATTGAGCAGTCCTATTCTAGTGAAGCAACTTCAACTGAAAACTGTAAAAGGTTAGACTGTGCTTTGCAGGTTGGAAGGTTTTTGCAACGTATCTAATTTTGACTAGATCCATCTGAGACAATCTAGAAAGGTCTCAAGCACAGGCTAAGAAAAGGACAGAGACATCACGTCCAAGACAAATTTCTCACCCTAATTCCTGTTAGACTGGTTGGTGCTCAGCTGCTCAGCTTGAGGTGAGAGCGTGAGCCATGCAACAAAGGGTGGGGAGGAAACAGAGAGGGGCAGAGGTGTAGAGAGCTGACTGCACTGACTGCATGCTGTTGAGATAAGTTATCTATCTAGGACTGGACTCACAGCACACAGAAAGCAATGGAAAAAATAGATCTTCATTTACATCAGTGGGTTTTATACTAAGATTGCCTTCTCTGGCAGCACGCAACAGTTGGAACAAAGGCTAAAAACTGAGCCCTCTATATGGCTAGGGAAAAGCAGAGCAAGATTTAAAGCTCAATACATGTTGAAGATATCTCAGACATTGCAAGGAGCCTGTTTAACTATTTGTTTCAGGTTCCATTCTTCTGCGTGTGAGGAGGCTGCAGCTGCACTCCTACCCCCACAAATGTCCAGCGTCAAGGCTGCCAAATAAATGATGTCATGGGTTCCAGTTCCAAGAAGGCCTGACACTTGGATTAAGTGACCATAGATAAGACTTAGTACCTTTGCTTTTGTCATTCAGAAGAAGAGCAAATATGTCAAAATCCTGCCTGCTTCAATTTAGGAGCTAAGCAGGTGTAAGCACCTGGTTCCTGACAACAGTGCAGACTGTTTTTACCAGTAGTGAGTAACAGTCTAGACACCAAAACAGTCTGGAAATTCATCCATGCTTGGAGTGAGATCCAGCAACTCTCAGAAGTTTTCCAGGGCAGCATTCCTCTCCCAAGCAGCAATCCAGATTTTGGCTGTAAAATGCTTAAATTCTGTCCAGGCCTTTAGAAGAAAATGTTAGTGTGTGCTTGAAACACCCCTAAGAATCATCAGTACTGAGTCCACTCAGGAACAAAGGACGAGTCCATCACCTTTTGTACAATATCCTGATGCTGTGGAGAGCATCCTAGTAAGCAGCCAGTGTGAAAGCTGGGATCGGTGCTGCCTTCAGCAGAAGGTACACTATGGTAATAGGGCTACAGGGCGCTCTGATGGCCAGCACAATTGATCTGTGTTGAACCTGGACCACTGTGCAGCCACAAGTGGAAATGTTACAGGCTTATGGTATGACAAATGGGAGAATGACTGCTGGCTTGTGATTAGGGACCTCGAAGGGAAAGGAGACATTTTGGGATGCCACTTTCCTCCTCCTCTGGAGATGTGTACCTCTGTGGCATTAGTTGTACATTGGGTAGCTGAGGGACCACTTTGGCAGGGCTGCCTCCACCTGCCCTCGCACCTGAGTGCCTGAAGCACCAGTCATGGGCCTTTCTATTTGCTCTCCTTCCAGGCTGTTGACCCTCATATTTCTAACTACAGAATTATCTCAGCTTTAATGGGGTGGTAGAGGCTATCCCTGTGTCTAATGTTGCGCAGTCTGTCAGTCAGTACTGGAGTTTGCCTGGAATGTGCAGGCTGCAAGTTCATGTTCTCCAGTGCTGTGGAAGACACAGATTTCCTGGTCAAGTTTTCTAACCAATACACTGTTGTGCAACAAGCAGGTACCAACACATTCAAATACCTTGAAACAGAAATGAAACCTGCTCAGTTTAGCCTGGATCCCCAGTTGCCACGGGTGTTTAACTGCCAGAGAAGAACCAATGCTTATTCACAGCCTGTGCTTAATGTTTCTTACTGGCAGGCTTCAAACTACTTCCAACTTCTTACACAACTTTGCTGGATCGTTCTGCAGAGGAAGTGGATATTAAAATGACTGAAGCAGGAATTACTCTCTAACATACCCTGAAATACAACAGCTCTGGATACTAAGGAGTAAGAGGAATGGGTTGCACCACAGGTTCTCCTTAGCCGGTATCTCCCTTTTTACCATTGTTGGAGACAGAATTCTGGACCAGGTGGATACCATTGGGTACCTCTTACATTTCTTTCTTACACTTTGTTCTGTCCACGACTCAGGTAAGCTTGATTATCCATGTAGGTGAGAAGCCTAATATTGAGAGGCTGAAGAGTCGGAAGATTAGGTTTCTCACCTGCAGTTTTGAACATCTTCAGAGCTGCTGTAATTGCTATGGCTACTTACTCTTGTGAATGGTTTTTGTATAGGCATATGGTAATAAAAGGAAAACATAATATAATCCCAAATAATGTATATTAAATATACACTATCCACCCGACAACACATACAACCTGTCCCACAAAGGCAATTTACTGCAATAAGACAATACCTTCATTGGTGATCTGCCAGCAGGAGAAGGGGAAACGGAGGCTATGTGTCTTGCTGGTGATGCTGTAAAGTCAGAAAGATTTCAGTGCACTCTTGGCATTACAATTTTCACAAAGAGATCTTTTTCAGTGGATATGAGATCATTCTATGCACAAGTATTATCTCTGGTTCTCTCTAGTTACTTGCCTGATGGCTGCAAATAGTTTTAGAGATGTGTTTATTTTACTTTGTTCTCAGGATTACCTTGCAGTACAACCAATAAAGTATAAGAAATTTTTGCCTCCATCTTCTCTGACAAATTTTATATTACTGCAAATTGGTTTATATCCTACCAAATAATAACAGGATTCAAAAAAATGTCAGTACAATAATTTTCCCCGCCTCTTTTTCTTCTTCTCTTAAGAAATATATTATATATTTGTATGTCAAATAAGAGAAAGGACAATACATAATGTACTTATATAAAATATTTACCTGTAAATATACTGTACACATTCCTGGACATACTTTGAGGCATAAGTCTAACACACAAAAAGCGACTTCACTCCCTTGAGAACAATTATATTTGTAGTATCACTTAAGCAGCCTTTCCTTTAAATGGAAATTAATCTTTTGAAAGGCAAATGGTTACAGTAACAGAACTCATGTTCTTCCATGACTGCTGTGCATTTTCTGTCCAGTAAGATTCTTTGTGGTTAATGATAATTTCTGACTGCTAACTTCCAATTATCATAAGATCAAAAAATTTTACCATCTTCCCTAGCACCGGCATGAACTGTCTGAAACTCCTCAGTCATTAAGTGAAGGGGCAGAGTATTGGAAACAGAAAGCTACAGAGAACATTAAGAAGATGAAAATACTTGTGGAGGCAGTTCTACAGCCTTCCACGTAAGTAATCAAATAATAAATTAGCCTGCCCAAGAAGTTAAACATTAATCAGAGTGGAAAGAATCTAAGCCCTCAAGTAAATCACTTTTACTGGAACTTAGCCTGAAGTGTCCACTAACTCACCAGTCTGTGCAGGTCTTGGTGGTACAGGAGGAGATATAAGCTTTCCACTTTCTGATGTGTTTCTGGCTTCCTTCCCACTGTCCAGGCTCCAGCTGCTGGGAGCAACATTTACAGCTGGAAGAAAATGCAAAAGCTGGCATAAGCATCAAGATGTCTAGCTCTCCAACTTGCCTTTATCCATGAGGGTAAAAATACAGAGTGAAAATGTTAAACAAGCATGCTTGAGAAGCTTTCATGATTATATCAGCATTTGAAAAGCTCTTAAATAATGTCTGTTAATCTTCTGGTTGCCTGATGTAAGCATCTGGCTGCCAGGTCAGTTTCTGACTGTATAGCAGTAGGGACCATCAAGCACAGTAGCAGCTGAGGTAGCACTCTGGTGCACTGCAAATCCAGCTACAAAGGGAGATAAGCCTGCAGCCTGCTAATATAATCAGTTTATCTTCACACTATTTAAAGTTTTCTAGGCAAAGGGGAACAGACTATTCATAAACTGTTTCCATTAACTCATTTTATATACAGAAGGGACTAGAGAAAGGAATTCTATAAATTCTGATCAACCTTCCTCAGAAAGCTTGCAGTGCTAACAGTCTTTTGTTGCCTGCATAGGATACAAATTCAGAACTGAAAGAAGGTGGAAAGAACACAAAATAGAAGGAGTGAAAATTGAAAGAAATGAAGTTTGAAAAAAAATCAAATGAAATTATTGTTGACTAAGAAAGTTTATATACGCAGTTCGTATCCATGGTGGAGGATCTCTGCTTGATCATGTAAATTGACTATCACCTTGACGTGCATAAAATTGGCTGTTGTATTTGTTTGTGTAACCTCTATCAAATTCCATCACTTTAACTGAATGATCCCATAAGGCCGGAACAGCTTCCTTAATAGAACTGGATTCTCTCTTGTTACCAAGGAGCCACCAATATTGGAAAGAAATCAGATAGACAGAAAGACAGGGCACTAATGTGGACAGGACAAAAGCTAATTGAAACCCCATGATTTTTCTTACAGGTCCTGTAAAAAAGTGGAAAAAAACTGCTTCAAACCTCCCCCTCCCCCAAAAAAACTCGCAACAAAAACCCACCACCAAAAAACCCCCCACTTTCAAAGCTTCAGACCTCTTGCCTTACCATGAGCTTTTTTGCCTGCTTGTTTCATAATTGTGAGTAGAGAACCACATGCAAGGACTCTGTGCTCATTTACAAATATGAAATGAAAAGCAAAGTACTGTTGCTAACTGATAGTACTAATTATTGCTATTATAGCAACACCAAGGGCTCTCAGGCCTGCAATCCCACCTTACCAGTATATACTAGAACTCAATACAAAAAGTACAGTACAAATAATATTAGTTTCATAGCTGTAACGATATCGTTACAGTATAATTGCACATTAGTTGACCCTGAGAACAGTGCACAGAATAGTGTTTATTCTAGAGGATAATTTTGCTTTTTTATTGCCAAAATATGCAATACAGTGTTTGCTTTTTACTATATGCTGTCACCTAGCAGTATGGTTTTATCCTCATCCCAAAAATGACTTGGCACCAGACCTAGGTACTTCAAATGCCTGAATCTCTTGACAAGCCAATTTCTTTTTTTAAGTCATTCAAGCAGTCAGTTCTTTGGACTGCTAAAGTCACCAGAAAAGAATATTTTATTTTAACAATTCTGTAATGTAGTTGGCTGCACAGGCCAGTGGAAAAGTTTTGCCATTTCCATGTTAAATTATTTCATGTTTTTCAGCTCTGTGAAAAATTCCACACTTGAGCTTTCATAAAAACTTGGACACAAAAATAATTAGAAAAATAATCTCTTACTGATGAAAATCTGATTCCTGGTCGGTTCTTGTTACAATCTAGTCAGGGTACCACAAAGGGCAGCACATGAAATGATGGAGCATATTATGGATGTGGAACACGTAAGGAAATCTTGGCACAGTAACTGTGCCAACAATATTGAGTTTCCACATACGCAAAACTGTAAAAGGCAACATTTTGTCTATGGAAATTCATAGGTTTCTCATTTACTCTAATAAAAAGCAAGCCCCGTCCCCAAACCAAACAAACCACAAATTGATCTTTTCTCTTCCATCAAAGTATAACCAAAAGCAGTGACTTAGATTTGGTAAAGAGACTTGCAGGTACCCAGCTTCAGGACTCTATCCATCTCTTTAGCTTCTCTCTGCCTCAGTCTCCAGAAGTTCATCTCCAGGGTTCATCAACCCATATGTCTCTCTTGTGAAGGCGAAAGGACAGCTTTCACAGACAGCCTGCTGCAACCTGCTGCTCCACCACCACTTCCTGCAAACTTCTGGGCCCTTCTGAGCTAAATACTCTGTTCAAGCAAAAAACCATGTTCCCCAAGTTTTTGGCAAAGTGTTTTGAAACTTCAAGTGTTAGTGTAATTTAGTCAGTTAGTTAGAATGTTTTGAAACTTGATATGCTCAAAAGAATTAGCATTCTACAGGAATATGACAGATTAATTATCGTTCCATTGCTTCCAAGATTGGTATGGTGCAGCATTTCCACTCACCTTTGTCCGGGCCAGGCAGATTGGAATCACTTCGTGGCAAAGCACCATCTCCAATATGATTAAGCAGCATTCTCTGTAAATTGAGAACAGCTTCGTTTATGCATAGCTACTGTTGTATTTCAGTAGCCTTTAATAAAACAAATATCTTTTTGTTATTATCCCACCACACAGGTCTACTTTGGAGGTAGAGTGATAAATATCACCAAAGAACGCAAATAGTTTAATAAAAATATGTGCACACAAATAGTGAGTAGACTAATTTTCTGAAAACCGTACACACTGGAATCAGAGGAAGGATTATTATACACTGAGTTCTGACAGTTTCCAGCTCCCTAAAAAACACAGTAAGGCTCATTCCTCAAGTAGTATCTTGACAGATTACTAAACAAGTGCAAGGACAGACCTGCAATAATTTCATTGTAGAATCAAGATTTGAACAAGGTATAATATTTCACAATATTCAAGTTATGGCTGTTATTTTAGAAGTGCATTGTGTATTATTTCCAACCCTGACTTTTTTTGGTAGCAGCATTCTTACCTCTCTTGTGGATAAGAGCTGACCCATAAAGTGTGTTGGCCTTTCCTTTTGTGAATATTAATTTTTTTTAAATAACAGTAAGTTTATGAAACATGTTTAAAATTCCATTAATTACTTCTTTTGGCAGCATTCAAATAATCTGTGGGTCACTAGCTCATCTTGATAACAGATGTAAACAGCGTACAGTTAATCCTACAAGTAATTCAGATATACTTTCCAAAGGAAATAAGAACAGATAAAGTTTAATTTTTTTCCTTCCTTTTTTTTTTTTTTTAAGCAAGATCAGACAACCAGAGAAATTAAAATCAAATCAAATCAAATAAAATCCTATTCTTGTATTCCCTTCCAGTGTTCACAGAGGACCATGCCGAATCAGCGAGGCATTATGCTGTGGTTCCACAAGATGGCAAACCTAGCCAAGTAATCATCACGGATCTAACATGTTGCAGTGTTGCAGTTCCATGTTACACAGTGAGGAAGAAATACTTGGCCAATTCAACTTGACTTAAAACATCGCATAGAGAGAACGCTTTGGTAGACTTTGAGCTACACTAGTTTTGCCTGTCTATGCTGTACTAGAGTCACACTGGATCAGGTAATACCTGTTTTCCTAGAGTTCCCGTTAAACTGAGGTCATGTAACTACCTGCATACCCTAATGTGACAGAAGATGTGATTGTATGTTCCTGCCTGGTCTGGATGGAATGGTCACTGCCTAGTGAGTCTGCAGTGCTGTAGGATCTGGAGGGCAAATGCTGAGGTCTGTTTTCTGTTGTGAAAGTAAAGAGCAAAGGCTGAAAAAGCAACTGAAACTTGAAGAGACAAAAGCTGAACGAAATACAGAGAAACAAGGACATACTAAAATAATGAAATATAAAACCATATGGAAGAACAAGAGCAATCACAGGATGTTTAATGAGTCGCAAAAAAAGCCCAAAATGTAAAACCTAAAAAGCTCCCTTAAGAAGATGAACAGCGCAGAAACTAAGGAGGCTTGTTAACCAGTCAATGACAGCAGGCATTCCTCTTCAGAGTATGGGAAGAGCTGGAGAGACACTGTACAATCGCTCAGCCAGAGATCAAAAAGCAAGCACAAATGGACGTTAATTGAAAACAGCTGTACATAGAGAAACTTGAGCATCAATTTCAATGAGGGAAGCGGATGCAGTACTGCTGTGGTCTTGTTCTATGAAGTCCATCAAACTTCCTTAAATGAGGTAGCTATGGCCTGAAAGGACTTGATTTGGACTTAAAGTTCAGAAATTGGCCTGTGCATCTCATCTTTTCC